CAGAGTAGAATCATCTGATAGGGGTTCTGAGGCTGTAGTCTTTACAGGAGCAGATTCCCAGGTCTTTTCTTTCAGGGAACTGCAGTGGGTTTTAATGACTGACCTTTCAGTTAGCGGCTGAGTGCTAAATTTTTGTGCCACTAGGGCTCTAGGCAAAAACATATATATTTTTCCCTATTAAGATATAATCTGAACCTTTTTTTAAAAAAGACAAAACACCAAAAACACCCCAATTGGTAATTTTTAATCTTGATCTACCCGATCTTGCATTTCAATTGCTTTGTGGCTTGGTATTACTTGATTCAAGGATAATTCATAAAGAATTGACATTGTTAACTTATTCTTAAAACTGAGGTACTACTTCCTTTCACTGATTTTCATATTGCAGTTACATAAATATTTTAAAAATAATTGGAGATTATCTGCATTTAAAAAAACTGGTATATTTGCACTGAAATTAATGAAAGATTGATACAATCTACCTTTGCTCCATTAGATAATATTCAACTATCTCTTTGTTCCCTAAAGTGTAACCTTTTAACTGTAGTACTAATAGCACTTTAAAAAATTCTGTTATATTTTATTCTTCTTTATATTTATTATAAAATATAAAACAAATATTTTTATCTAGTATGCATTTAAAAATGTTTGCGGATTTGACTTTATTTGTTGTTGTTAGGTGCCCTATGTACAACAGAACGAAACACTGTCCAGTCTTAAGCCATTTTACCAATTGCTGCTATACTTGAGCCCATTGCTGCTGCCACTGTGCCAATACATCTTATTGGGGGTGGGGGTGAGAGTGTGTCCTCCTGTTTTTTTTTTTTTTTTTTTTTTGCTGACCCTTGCATTTTATCAAACATGAGGTCTTTCTCCAGGGACTGGTCCCTCCTGATAATATGTCTGAAGTATGAACGATGAAGTCTGGCCATAATGACTTCTAAGGTGCATTCTGATTACAGTTCTTCCAACACAAAATTGTTCTTCTGGTAATCCATGGTACTTTTAATATTCTTCTCCAACACTATAACTCAAAAGTATCACTTCTTCTATGGTCTTCCTTACTCACTGTCTTTCACATGCATATGAGGCTACTGGAAAGATCTTGAGTCCTCAAACTGACATCTCTGCTCTTGAACATCTTAAAGAGGTCTTGTGTAGCAGATTTGCTTAATGCAATATGTCGTTTGATTTCTTGACTGCTGCTTCCATGAACGTTGATGGTGAATCCAGGCAAAATGAAGTCTTTCAAAACTTCAATCTTTTTTCCATTTATCATGATGTTATTTATTGCTGAAGTGGTGAGGACTTTTGTTTTCTATATATTGAGGTGCAACCCATACTGAATCCAGTGGTCTCAGATCTTCAACAGTAAGTCTTCATTTTCAGCAAGCAGAGTTGTATCATCTGCATACTTCAGGTTATTAATAAATCTTCCTCCAATCCTGATACTACATTTTTCTTCATATAATTCAGCTTCTCCAGATTATTTGCTCAGCATACAGGTTGAATAAGTATGGTGAATGAATACAACTCTGGCACACACCTTTCCTGATCATAAACCATTCAGTGTCCCTTTGTTTGCTGGAATGACTGCCTCTTGGTCTGTGAACAGCTTCCTCATGAGCACAATAAAGTGTTCCGAAATACTAATTCTCTGAAATGTCCATAATTTGTCATGATCCACACAAAGTCTTTACATAGTCAATAAAGCACAGATATACATATTTCTGGTATTCTCTGCTCTCAACCAAGATCCATCTGACATCAGTAATGATATCGTTCGTATTACATCCTCATCTGAATCTGGCTTGAACTTCTGGCAGTTCCCTGTCAATAAGTCAATATACTGTTGTAGCCATTTTTGAATGATCTTGAGCAAATTTTACTTGCATGTGATAGTAATGATACTGTCCAATGGTTTCTGTATCTCACTGGGTCATCTCTCTTTGGAATGGGAACAAATATGGATCTCTTCCAGTTAATTGGCTAGGCCTCCAAATTTCTTGGCATAGATAAGTGAGCTCCTCCAGTGTTACATCAGTTTGTTGAAAATTTTCTATTTGTATTCCCCTCAATTCCCAGAGCCTTGTTCTTTGCCCATGCCTTCAATGCACCTTGGAATTCTTCCTTCTGTATCATTGGCTTTTGATCATATACTACTTCTTGAAATGGCTGAACATCAACCATTTCTTTTTGGTACAGTGACTCTGTGCATTCCATCCATCTTGTTTAGATACTTTCTGCATCATTCAATATTTTGCCTGTAGAAATCTTCAGTATTGCAGGTTGAGGCTTGTATTTCTTTCCTTAGCTCTTTCGGCTTCATAAATGGTTCTTTTGGATTTCTAACTCCAGATGTTTGGATATTTCAGTATAATATTTGACTTTGTCTTCTCCAGCTGACCTCTGAAATTTTCTGTTCAGCCATTTTACCTCCTTGTGTCTTCTATGTGCTTTAGCATCTCTAGGCAGGAGAGCAAGTTTCAGAGTCTCTTTTGACATACATTTTGATTTTTTCGTTCTTTTCTTAATGACCTTTTGCTTTCTTCTTTTATGATATTCTTGATGTCATCCACAACTCTTCTGGCCTTCAGTCATTAGTGTCTAATTCAGCAAATCTACTCTTGAGATGATTTATAAATTCAGGTGGCATATGTTCAAGGTTATATATTGGTTCTTGTGGATGTGTTTAGATTTTCTTCAACTTCAGTCTGAACTTGCATATAAGCAATTGGTAGTCTGTTCCACAGTCTTACCCTAACTTTGTTTTGACTGATGATAGGGAGCTTTCCCACTGTGTCTTTCCACAGATGTAGTAATTTTATTTCTGTGTATTCCATCTGGTGAGGTCCATGTGTACAGTCATCTTTTATGTTGTTTTTTTTACAAAGGTATGTGCAATGAAGAAGTCATTGGTCTTGCAAAATTCTATCATGCAATCTCCAGCATCATTTCTGTCACCAAGACCAAAATCTCCAACTATTGACCCTTCCTCTTTGTTTCCAACCTTTACATTTCAATTACCAGTAATTATGAAATACACCTTGATTGCATGTTTGATCAATTTCAGACTGAAGAAGTTGGGTAGAATTCTTCAATTTCATCATCACTGGCTTTAGTGGTTGGTGCATAAATTTGAGTAACAGTGGTATTAACAGATCTTCCCTGTAGGCATATAATATTATACTATCACAGAAGTATTATACTTCAAGATAGAGTTTGAAATATTCTAATGAAATTTCTCTTCAATTTGTCATTCCTGGCATAGTAAACCATGTGGCTGTCAAGATTCACAATGGCCAATACCAGTCCATTTCAGCTCACGAATGCCTAAGATATCAATGTTTATGCATTTCATCTCATTTTTGACGACTTCCAATTTTTCTAGATTCACACTTTGTATATTCATGTTCTGATGATTATTGGATGTTTACAGCTGTTTCTCTTCATTTTGAGTACTGCTCCATCCATAAATTATGGTCCTGAGAGCTTTATTCTATCTGCGTCATCATGGTTAACTCTACTTTGAGGAGGCAGCTTTTTCCCAGTTACATTTTGAGTGCCTTCCAACCTGAGGGACTCATTTTCTGGCACTAGATCTCACAGTATTCTGGTGCTATTCATCATGCTTCAATATTCAATATTCTGGTGCTATTTCAGTGTTACACTGCTATTCATAATTGTTTTTCAGTGGCTGAAAATTCGGAAGTAGTCCTCGTCTCCTTCATTCGAATCTTAGTCTGGAAGCTCACCTGAAACCTGTCCACCATGGGTGACCCTACCAGCATTCAAAATACCAGTGGTATAACTTCTAGCATCACAGCAATGTGCAAACCATTATAGTGAATTCAACAAACTGACAGAAGGGTGGTGGGAATTGACTTTTAGTATCATGAAAATCAAAGAAGACCTTGTATCTATAGAGAAAGACTATGAACTAACAGACAATAAAATGCTATTATATTATCATTATTTTTTTGTACTACTAAGACAAGGAGTCCTGGTTTGGCACTGCAGGATAAGCACTGAACAGCTAACCACAAGGTCGGTGGTTCAAACCTACCAGGTGCCCTTTGGGAACCTGTACAGTGTTGGTATGAGTTGAAACCAACTTGAAGCCACTCAACAAGAAGAAAGGGAGTGCTCCCTAAGAGATGCAAATGGTTAAAATGCTCAGCCAGACAGAAGTACCTTAGAATAAGGGTCTAGTGACCTACTAGTGAAAAATAACTAACTAAAACTAGTGTTCAAAGCTTTTCATAATTTGGCTCTCAGAGTCTAATCTTATTTCCTATTATCTTAGACACTTTTAAGGTATCCGTGTTTTATATAAACCATTTTGCACTGAATTCACATGATCAGACATGCAATGCTCCTCTCCATACCTCTGTGCTTGCATAGATGCTGTTTTTTGTTTTTTTTTTTCATTTTCACAGAAAAGTCATTTCCTCATCTAGGCAAACTCCTACATATCAAGTAAGACTAGCTCAAATATACAGTGTTAACAACTTGCTCTTTCCTTATGAACCATCACCCTTTGCTCCTATCTATCTAGCACTTCTAATACTTCATCGTCATCATTTATTCACACATCTGCCTCCTCAAATGGTTAACTCTTCAAAGTTGCAGAAATTATGTCCTTTTCAACTTCAATTCTCAATGTTAGGCATGTGATTCAGTTTCAGTAAATATTTTAATAAATAATAGGAGATTACGTTTTGAAAAAATTCGCACTTTAACATTAATGAAAGATTCATACCATCTACTTTTGCTCCAATATATATATATTATTCAACTATTTCTTTCTTTCCTAATGTGTTTCTTATAAAATATAACTGTAGCACTAATAGCATTTAAAAAAAATTTGGTTATCATGTTTTACTCTTTTTTTATATCTCCTGTAAGACCAACACAAATATTTTTATCTAATATACATTTAAAAAAACATTTGCTGAATTGCCTTTATAAGATCATGAAAAACAAAGAAAACATTATACCTATAGAGGAAGACTGTGGACTAATCAGAAGATCCTCTTGAACTTGTTCACTTCCTGGCACTGTCTGCTGATCACTCAGTGAACTCTGAGATGCACTGACAGGCTGAGACACTTCTTCATGAACCTCCTCATCACTTAACCGTTCTACTTTGACCCGGACATCTTCTTCAGCACCCAGAGGCAAGGTAGTTTTTGAGCTCTCACAAGTCACATAATCAGCTACTCTTCTATCTGTCTCAGATGGGCCAGGTAATTCTAAAGTCCGGGTATTTTCTGCCTGTTTAATCTTCTCAGGCTGAATCCTTCGATCAATTCCAAAAGGAAAGGTCCAGGGAAAAGCTAAAGAAGAGTCAACTGGTTGATTTCTATTTTCTGAGTATGAAGATGAAGAATTCAATACCTGGGGAGAACTTGTCTGTGTGCTACACTTCACAGGACTTTCAGGAGACATAACTATGTAACTTTTGCGTTTTCTCCGAGATTCTCGGCAAACAGGAATGGTTCTTTCTACCACACTGCACTCTGAAGAGACTGGAGAAATGCTTCCATCTCGAGAAGTAAAATTGCAGTTAGAATTGTTTTCTTGTCCAGCATCCAGACCCTTTTCTGATTGGCTGCTGGGGGTATTCCATAAAATGCTTGATTTCATGAACTCTGAGCAGGTGCTAGCAACACTAAACATTTGCATATAGCTGGCTGCAGCTAGAACATCAATAATATTTTCTGTGTTAATTGACAAAGTGGCTGTGTAAGCATATTCCAAAAGGGGTATAAAGCCAGTCACTGTAACATGATGCAAATCCAACACATTCTTGTTCTCCTCCTCTGCTTGGCCCACAAGTTTGGTGCGAAAGAAATCACTGCAAGCTGCTAGTACCACCTTGTGCGCCCGGAAGATTTTGTCCTGGACACGTATAGTGATATCACAAAAATGTCCATCATTTCGCAGCATATTTAGCTTTCCAAGCATTTCCTGGCTGTGGGAAGAGGAGCTATGAGTAAATGTTTTCACACCCATCTTTTTCTTTCTCTTCTACAGATGCTCTTCAAGGATGTAAATGAATCAGAAATGCCCTAAAAAAAAATACATAAAAGAAAGCATTAATTTGTGGTTTTGTAGTCGAAATAGAAAATGATTTAGATTGTTTTCATGTAACTACTACACTAATAAAAAGGATGAAAGACAGTGAGTAAGTTCAAGGTAGAAAATATATTTAAATACATTCTCCCTACCTGTTCCACAGATTTTCCAAACTATCTAATCAGTGAGCTAATGTTTTAAATACATTGCATAGTTTTAAATATGTTTGTAAATTATTAAAATTATAGAGCACTTTCTATGTGTCAACAAACACTATTCTAAATGCTTCAGATTTGATTACTTGATCATTATGATGTCTCTGTCAGGTTGTTTTTGTTGCTAAGTGCCGTCGAGTCAATTCCGACCCCGTATAGGGTTTCCGAGGAGCAGCTGGTGAGCTTGAACCACCCGCCTTGCAGTTCAAACGACTTTGCAGTCTGACGCATTAGCCCACAGCGCCACACCAGGACTCCCTCTGTCAGAACATATCATTCTCATTAAAGAAAAAAAAAAAAAAAAGGGTGTGTGTGTTAAATACCTTGCTGAATAAAGTCTGTTGTTGTTAAGTGCTGTCAAGTCAGTTTTGACTCAATGCAATCTTGTATAGGGCTTCCAAGTAGTGGCTAGTGGGTTTGAACCACCAACCTTGCTGCTTAACAGTCCAGTACTGATCCTACAGAGCCATACTAGTCTAATGTCTAGTAAATGGCAGGCCACAGTTCAAATCCAGGCAGGCTGGCTCCAGATTCTGTACTCTTAATTTCAGTGCCTCTTGTAAGCGTGGTTAAATGCCCAAGTTTCAGAATTTGAATGACCTGGGTTCTTTGCCTAACCTCTGCAAGTCTGAGTGTCCTCAACAACTTCCCTAACACTGTTACACATGATTAAAAGTAGTAACCAAACAGTAAATTCTAAAAACGAAGTCAATGCTTTGCCCAGTTCTTGGCACATGCAAATGCTCCACCAATAATGATGCTGTTGTTAGTGCCATGGAGTCAATTCCAACTCACAGTGCCTCTGCAGCAAGGAGCAGCTTGTGGGTTTGAACCACCAATCTTGTGGTTCAAATCAACCTTGTGGTCCAGCAATTTATCTTACATTGTCATACGAGGACTCCACTAATGATAACAAATTATTATTATTAGTTTTGTACTGTCAGTACAATAAAATAAGAATCTTTCTGGAAGTAAATTTACCTCCCCTTCCCCCCCAAAAAAGATATTTAGTAATCAATCAACTGTTTGAATTTGCTTTTAACAATAGAAGATAGTTTGACTTAAATTCTTACTTTCAATTTAGTAAATCTAATAATGCTTTAGTTTGTCAGTATTCTTTTCCCAACCTCTTTTATAACTACTATGACTTTGAACCACAAGGTCAGTGGTTCAAACCCACCAGCTGCTCCTTGGAAACCCTGTACAGGGTCATTATGAGTCAGAACTGACTCAATGGCACTTAACAACAACAATAATGTGAAGTTAGGGGAGCACAGGGGCTGTGTAGGATAAGCACTGGATGGCAAATGACAAAGTTGGCAGTTCAAGCCCACTAGCCATTCCATAGGAGAAAGATGAGGCTTGCTGCTCTCTCCAAGATTTACATCTTCAGAAACCCTATGCAGAGTTGCTATGAGTTGGAATCAACTCAACAGCACTTAACAACAATGTTAAGTCAGGGAGGCTTCTATTACTTGTTTGTTTGTTGTTGTTAAGTGCTGTTGAGTCAATTCTGACTTACAGAAACTCTATATAGAGTTTCTAAGGAGTGACTGTTCAATGACTTGAACACATCAGCTGCTCCATGGGGGTAAGATGAGGCAGTCTGCAAAAGATCTGCAGCCTTGGAAGCCCTGGAGAGCACTTCTATTCTGCTCCATGGGATCATTATAAGTCAGAATCGACTCGACAGCAGAGGGTATTGATTTTATGTAAGATAAGTAACATTTCTTTCTTTCTTATGTTGCTGTTGTTAAGTGCATTTGAATCGGTTCTAATTCATAGTGACCTTAATAGGGTTTCCAAAGAGCAGTTAGTGGGTTTGAACTGCAGACCTTGTAGTTAGTAGTCCAGTACTTATCCTACAGCACCACACCAATACCCCTTCTATTTATTGTTGCTGTTGTTAAGGGCCATTGAGTTGGTTCTGACTTATAGAAACCCTGTATAGGCAGCTGGTGGGTTTGAACTGCTGAACAATTGTTTATCCTACAATGCCACACCAGTCCCTTTGCTGCAGGATTAGCACTGGACTGTGAACCACGAGGTCAGCAGTTCAAACCCACCAGCTGCTCTTCAGAAACCCTGTACAGGAAGTAGTTATGAGTAGGAACTGAGCTGATGGCACTGAACAAGAACGACTAAAATAAAAACAGAACTGACTTTGCTTCTTCATCACAGCAAAATTGGAGAAAATAGGTTTTGTAAATCATCACTGTTGTTGTTAAGTGCCGTCGAGTTTGTTCTGACCCAAATTATCATTAGATTTATAAAAATTAAAATGCCTGAAAAATACAGCCACTAATATAAAATGATGCTGAAAATGGTGAATATTTCATAAAATGGAAAAATGTTTGGTGTTGAGTATTAAGTGAATCTATAATTACTGGCATAGAAAAAACACTCAATAATGGTAGCTATTATTATTTTATATTTAAGGAAAATGTGATACAAGCATAAACAGACTATGATTCTGTTTTTGTAAAAAAAAAGTACATCTATGTTTGCATTCACATCACATACCACAGAACAAGAAAATATGAGTACGAACCAGAGATTCATGGAGTTCCTAACGATTCATGATCCCTCTGAAATTGTATTAAGAATAATGTCTACTTGCATTTATGACAACTTTCATTACATTCAAGGGAATTTCTGCTCATCAATATGTTTACAACCTTTGTTACAAAAATAATTTGGGCAGTGATTATCTATGGAGGCTAAATATATAGGTGCGTATATCCTTCTTTTTATTAAATTAAAACAGAAACAAACAAACAAACAAACAAAAATACATCATATACTGATGTTTACCGTTGGGGTTTCAGGTACTGGAGTTTAGACTATAGACTTACAAAGAATTGTTTAATTTCTCTTTTCCCTTCAAAGTCTTTCAAAAATATAAAGACAGCAGTCACATTCCCACTTCCTCTTCTTTAAGCAGAACTAGTCCCTTTACATGTTCCTTAGACTTTGATTAGTATTCTTGCTATCAGGAAGGTGCTCTGCTCTGTTGAACAATTTCCACTTCTCAATGCTCCTTCAAGATTGGGTCCCAGAGAGATACAGGGAGGAAAAAAATAAATAAGGTAAACAGAGGTAAACACTATTTACAGTTGGTACATGAAGTCGGGATTGCAACCATGTAATGAAGCAAAGTATATGATTTGTTGAATGTAAAACTGATGATCTGCTCTGTAAATCTTCACTCAATTCAGAATAAAAATTTGAAAAAAAAAAAAAAAAAAGATTGGTCCTAGAACTACACACAATATGACAGGAATGGTATGATGAACTTTGGTAGAATTACATTGAGGGTAACTTTTATTTTATTTGCCTCACTTGTTATAGACAATTTTGGCAAAACTAACTCAGGTATTTTGACAGTCATATCATATATGGACTCACTTCAATTTTGTTCACAGTAACCAAAATTTAATTCAATAACTAACTTACTAGATGTGAGATACTTTGTGATGTGAAGTGAGGGACATATGTACAAATGACATATTTTCCCTGACCTCAGTATGCTTACAGTCCTATGTAGAGGGTACATGTATACAACTAAAACTACAAAACATATGATATGGAGATAGTTTGTAATAAAGTGCTATGGGAAGCAAAGAATGGAATGCCTGATTCTGATAGTGCAAGGTAAAACAAGTTTCAGAAAGGAAATATTATTTAAACAAGGGCTAATGAATGTAATGTGGCACTGTAGGATCAGCACTGGACTGTCAACCACATGGTCAGAGTTCAAACCCACTAGCTGCTACTCATAAATCCTATGCAAGGTTACTATGAGTCAGAACTGACCTGACAGCACTTAACAACACTAAAGACAATGAAGGTAGACTACTGATGGTTTAAAAAATGAAAGCTCCCAAATATAATGGGATTATATGATATTGGTAAGTGCTCATGAACCGAATGTGACTACTTGTAAAATGTGTGTACACTCACTCCTCACTTATTGACATGGATAGGTTCCAAAGTTCAGATCATTATGGGAAAGTTGGTGTTATGGAAAATGGAAGACAACCACAACAGATCACAAAATGGGGGATAACTACATCATTGTATGGCAAATTATATCATTACCTAACTGCCAAACCACTGAGAATCATGGCACAGGCAAGGTGACACACAACCTTACCCGTTACAGCCAGTGTTACTCTCACCTTGCACCATGGCATTTGTTATATGTCTGTGGAAACTTTGCCGCAGTTTACTCTTCAATGAAAAATTAAGTTGAAAAATATATTTCTGATGTACTGCTATACAATGCAGCAAGACTTGTAAAACAAATGAAATTTTGTGATTTAAAAGCATCACAAGTAATATCAGACAATTTAAAATCCTGAAAATATAACCTGAAATCTTCTAAATTAGTTAATTCTATTACAGAAACACTCATTTCTCACCATGTATACAGATGAATATGTGTGCAATTATATAATTTGGAGCAATTTAAAATTTGTATTGAGTAAAGAGAAATATTAATTTTCCTTACTAATTTAGAGTTTATATAGCATTCAAGATTAATAAAAATGTATTTAACAGTTTCAAATTTGAACTGTCCAGCAGTTCAGAAATAGTTCCATCCCTAGCACTTGTATTCCAAGTAACTGATGAAATACTATACAGGTTAATGAAAGTTGTACTTACTAGCAAGTTCTTTAACTAAAAAAATCCAAACTTTTGCTTTGCAGTTTTAAAAACATGGAAAGATAATCCATGTTCATGAAATGAACTTAATACTGTTAATATGTCAATAC